TATGCTTATACCTAAATATATATATATATATATATTTAGGTATAAGCATAATTCCGGCCTCGTTATCCGTTGATCTCTATGATTGGCTCTTCAAGTATCTTTTGGGAAGGTAGACGACAGGCATTTTTAGAGAGCACGTGTGTCGACCAGAGTGAACATTGCTGAAGCGCATCCAGTGTGATTTTGGCCGTAAATAACTGGAGGCTCCGGGCAAACCCACCCAATGTAGAAAAGTATCCTACATTTCTGGTTTCATAGAGAGCTATGAAGGCCAGAAGGGATGAATCCCAGATGAGTCAAACTACCGGCTTGCAGACGCAATCGTGTTGATAATAGCGCAAATGAGTTTGTATGACTCTCTCTGATGATGTGCAAAGGGTAAAGGCACGGAGTTAATATATGCTTTTGCCTAGTCACCTCGCGAACGGTTGCGTGGGTATTCGCTGCAGTGATTCATTTCGCTTTGTTTTATTACCGGGATTATATCTTGATTTCTGTGTTCCTAATTTCACAGACAGAACAAAATCGCTTTTCTCGTGTGGCGTCACGGTGGGGAGACAGAAATAAATTAGTGTACCGAAATTCGACGCTTGTGCTCGTTCTATAGCGCTTCTAAAAACCGTGCGATCACGGCTGTGCAACGTCACCATTTCATAAACTGCCGTTTTTTGTACTCGTATTGCATCCTGAGGGAACGACTATGGCTGGGTAAACAGGAATAGGGAGAATGGGTGCTTGTGATTTGGTTGAAGTTCAAATCAACAAATCGAGCTTCAACGAATGCGACAGTATTGCATTCACCCAACCAGCTATATGAGTTTTCAGATGGAGTATTAGCGTCTCCAGCTCGACGCTCGCCCTCCCGCGGCGGAAACGGGAAGCGCTCTAGTGAGGGTCCCCCGATTCTCCTGCTCAGCGGGCATGGTGGAACTGCTCGCGATCACAGCTTGCAAATTGTCATTTCTGAATGCAAACAACACTCTTCACTGTCCTAACGTAGTGCTGAAGCCGGCACGGGATTGTACTTTACTGGAGAGTTTTAGTGTTGCTCGTAGAAGCAAACGCAAGCAGTATGTGGTTGCGTTAGAGTTGCGTGCCCCACGCTGTGTGTGCGTCTCATCACCATGCGCCATCCAAGACCACAGTTTTGGACTCCGCGCACGCGCAGTGTGGAACACGCAAAGCTAACGTAAACACAGCGCTTGCGTTTGCTCGTATATGCAATACTAAAACTTACTACTGTTTGACCGGCTTCCAACGCCAACGAAACACGTGGTGCTGCAGTGAACAGAGGTGCAAGCAGGTAGGTGTTCGTTCGAACTGAAAAGGCTGAGATTGTCAAGACGACGGAGCGTAAAAATGAAAGTACCTAAACGTTATGAAAAAATTGATAATTAAAAAAAAATTCATTTATTTTTGGGGGGCATTTTGTCTTGTTGAATATTGGCGCCGAGTTTGGACTTTTGCCCAGTGTCAAAACTCACGACTTTGATAGCAAAATATATTTTACCCACAATTAATGTAATTTTACATGGATTTCTCACATTAGCTAGAATATTTTTATTGACTTTAGATTCTTTTTTTATTACTTAATAATTAAATGCTACAATTGGCACCAGTGATGATTATTAGCCCACTTTTGTTTGTCATATGTATTCGCGCATTTGAAATTATATCATAAGCAACAATTACATTAAAGCTCTTAATTTTAATATTAATATTATACAAATTGCGGCAATTTATGCCAAGATCTCAAAAAAAAAAAAACAACGCCATTTAACCATAATAGTCTTTGCAGAAAGGTATAGATATATTCTTTTTAGTATATGAAAAAACTCTGACATCGTTATCAAGATAGACAAACAGTCAAACACTGGGTGTAATATAAAGTCATATGCGTCACGCGTTGCTATAAAAACACACACACACACACATTTCAGCTGTCTGACATGGATTTGATCTTTGGGTTGTTGCAGTGAGGACAGCGTTTGTTACCTTATACGTGTTGTGGACATATTGTAAAAATTGGAATTATTTTCTTATTCTTCTGCTGGGAATAATGTTAAACCAATTAATCATCTACATACCCAAAACCCATTAAAAGGCCCGCAGTTTATAATTTCCCGTGACAATTATCTGAGCGAGCAAAGGCAGCGAGAACGCGCAAATATAAGCACTGATGTTTCCAACAACTACAAATATCAGCCTGGATCGAACATGTATGTCACAAAATAAAGTTTTCGCGAACAACGTCTCTAACTAAGTAATTACGATGTGAGACACATCTGGAGTTATGAAAGGATCCGAAATTAAGACCTATTTTAAGAAATTAAACCCAAAATAGAGATTAGTTTCCGTTTAGCTCCAGAATTAAAATGCACATCCTTGCGTAAATATTACACTAAACACCATTCTTTTTTTTCAGGGTAAGAAGGTGACCTGCGCTCATAACAGCCTAGCTTCCTCGCATTGCCAGAAATAATTTGTGTCGGTCAGTGAAGCCAACACACTGGACAGGCTCAACAGCGGCACGCATCTCCGACCCTCACTGTAACCGCCATTTTGGAAAATTAGTGGAACGGTCGATACCTTCCAAGTATGCGATTCGTGTTCTGCCAGTGGTACCTCAGCTAGACTAAAAAACAAAATCCACGTTAAAAAAAAAAAGAAAAAAAACAAAAAAAAAAAAACTACGGTGATTTGAGTTGCTTCAGCGCCGAATCATGTTTCACGTAAGCGTAATCTTGGGTTTGATACACGACGAGGGGTCTTGAATCATAAAAATATTTTGATTTCGATTATTTGCAGTACTAAAAATTTGAAAGCCAAGCAGTGAAGAAAATGGTGTTCTGATAAATATTATATACATTTTATTTTACACTGTTTGAATACGCTGCCGTCGTTATGTCCTTAAATTATTGGCTAGCTTGTGGTGGACAGGGAGGTCTTGCAGGACCATATGATAGGACCTACACTAAACCTGCCGCGCTTGGAAAAATGCTAGTCCAATGCATACAAGCTTGTTCAAGGCGGACGGAGCGTTGCGCATCCGGCAAAGCTAATTCGGTCGCTGCCCGCGGCGGTTTTTTTTTTTTTTTGAAGCAGCGAAATAATTTTTAGTCAAGCAGTAGGCCCCCTTTTCGGCGGGTTAAGCCGGATTAACGGAGGCGTCTCCTAATCCATTCTCCGTGTTGGCTCCCCGGGGGTGGGTGGTAAACAGGTGGCGGAAGGCGGTGAAGGGAGGAAAGGAGGGCAGGAGAGAAGGAGACGTGAAAAAGTGGAAAGCGCGAACTGTACGGCGGCCATTTAAAAAAAAAAAAAAAAAGGTTAGCCTGCTTTGCAAGCTGGCTTTCCCCCAATGCGGCCGCTCGCGTTGGGGGAAAGCCAGCTTGCAGAGCAAAACGGTGCTCTTGGCAGTTCGATATATCGGTAGCGGCTGCTATTTTTGTTAGATGCAACCAGTCATGGGTAAGTTACTTTTAAAAAGTAATTCGTTACAGTTACAGTTACTTTCACAAAAAAGTAACGAAGTTACCGTTAGAGTTACCGCAACAAAAAAGTACTCGTTACAGTTACAGTTACTTTCAAAAAGTAACGACGTTACTTTTCAGTTACTTTTCTATAACACAAAAATGAAGGAAAAAGTAATGTTTGAAAGAAAAAAATATAGACACGAATCAGTCGGGCCTTCACCATAGCGGTAAATTCAAACTTAATAATTTAGCTGGAAAATTATTCAATATTATGAAAAGAATAAAGACAAAAATTGAACTGGATGTGTTTTCTCAGATTTGAACACGAAGACTTGTTGTCGGAGTACTCCTTGTTGCAAAGTTTGCTTACTGCGGTCAAATAGTTAGCAACCAATTTCACCACAGAAAAATACTCTGTACGCCGGCCATGCTTGTTCTTTGTTCTGTTCTCATCAACATCCCTATCCTTGTAGCACTAGCACATTGCTGGCTCGTTGACGGTTGCGCTGTGTTCGTGGACTCCTTTGATATATTTCAGTTCGTACCCGGAAAAACCAGAAACAAGCCCTGCGCAAACAACAGTAAATTTTGCCTCCACCGTTGAAACCACGCAGGAGTAGTGGCGCAAATCAAAATACGAAACATGCGCAGTGCGGAGTAGTGGCGCTAATCAAAATACGAAACATATGAAGTTTCCTTCGCGTGTATTGTTGTTTCACGGTTGATTCACCCGATTAAAATGCGTGCGCAGAAAAGAAAAAACCGCAACAGAGGTAGTGCTTCAATATACTAAGATGTAAGTGTTCAGTCACAAAGTACAAGCAACTGCGTAAAGATAACTACATTCTTCTTTTTTTTTTCTTCATCAAATCTACACGTGGCTATATTCGGATAGTGATTCGCGAGAAAGAACGTATTCTCAAGTTTGTGCAAGGCCAACTGACACTCAAAATGACGGAACAGACTTTTTGGAAAGCGCAAGGAATAGCTAGATTATACTCGTTTAATGATATATTATTCATAAAGAACTGAAAAGTAACGACAAAAGTAACTTCGTTACTTTCATCGTTACCTCAGAAAAAAGTAATAGAACTACAGTTACAAGTTACATTTTTAAAAAGTAACTCGTTACAGTTACAAGTTACCGAAAAAGTAACGAAGTTACAGTAACGCGTTACTAGTAACGCGTTACTACCCAAGACTGGATGCAACCATAGTTTTTGCTATATGTTATCCCTGTAACATTAGTGTGCACAAAATTGTTCAATATAAGGGATAATTTGATGTAAACGGGTTTAATATAGTTGGGTTTTACAATATTTAGAGAGGTTGAATAATTCAATATTGTTGAATAATTCAATATTGTTGAATAATTCAATATTGTTGCATACTTAAATTCAATTCGAAGCGAATGCCGAATAAAACAGAATTCGATTGACTATTCGTAATAACCGAATATTCGCCCATCCCTAGAATTTAGTGGTTTTAGCAAGCGGTAAAGTGGAAGCCTCGGGGTGTCTTGCGCAGCAACCCCACCCTGCAAGGGAAGGCCGTGAATGCGGTGAGGAACCTGCTCACCTCGCACGACTGGGACCCCCGCTTCAATGACCTGGATGCAGTGCGCCCCAGGGTTGCTACGCTGTACCTGCCCCTGGTGGCGGTGGTCGTGGACGCCCTGCCTTGCCTGTACGACTGGAGAGCCGACAACAGGGGTGCGTGCCTGCCCTTTCTTTCCATCGAGCGTGGTTTGAGGGAATGCTCGAGGTGGTTCCCCCCATCTGGCTGCCACATCTCCAATCAATCTGTCTAGTGCCTCCCGTGCATTCAAAGCGGTCCACGAGTGCCGACATCCACACTCGCGACGACAGTGAATGCAGCTGTCGCTGTCGTCGCGGCAATGCAACTCCTGACTGGAGACCGTGGAGTGTGAGGCTGAAGAGCGACTTGCAGCAGAATTATTGCGATGCTTCCGCTGTTGTGCTGCTGCCAGGATCGCAGCAGGCAACACCGTGACACTTGTATGGTGTCGTCGGGCAGAAATTGATGGGCCGCGTTTGAATGCACCAGCATTCTGGGCAGTGTAATTTGGTTTACATTGTCCATTTGCGATAGTACGGAGAGAATTTGGGCTGCCTCCAAGCTTTCTTTCGTTCCTTGCCACACTCACGCGAATGGGGCTAGTCTGTGTGGAAGCCATCCAATTGCGAGGGTTTCACTTGCCCTCCCTCTAGACTATTGAGCATCAAAAACGGTCAGTTATCACCAGTTGATGGGACATTTGAAGGGGTACCTGGTTAGCGCGGTGCCTGATTGGCACTGTCTACGGGTTCCCTGGGGATCTCGGACGCCGGTTTCCATTTTAAGTCGTGTAACTTTCGGATTCACTAATTCAATTTGGCTTTGTCGGAGAGAATGTCCTAATTCTTGCTTTCGTGGGAAAACGTTAGGGTTCTTTAGTATTGAAAAATAGAAAGCAGTGCAGACAAGAAGAAGGACAAGAGGAGATGTAGACAGACAGAGCACTGACTCTCAACTGAATTTTATTGGAAAGCAACGCATTAAATTCGCCGTGAATAAATAGGATGCAATCCTTATCACCTTGTCATCTTGTCATGCACTGTGTCTATCATACACATGCACCCAGGAACGCCAGTTCTTTATCGAGTGGAGCGATTGAGGGTGCACTTACACATCATTTCCACTTGGAGATATGTTGTACGCTTGGGCAATCTCCCTCCTTGTTTGCTGTCTATATCCCCCCAGGCTGACTGTGTCTTCTAACATCGGTTCACGTCCACATCTGTCACAATGACTGGCGAGATTGCTCCGGGGCGATGACTTCATTGAGAGTGCATGTTTTCTTAGCCTGTCTGACCGATGTACACTCTATTACATGATTGACAGCCCCCTACACTGTACAAACTGTTTCCTATGTGTTTCTTTGTACATGCATGACTCTCGTAGTAACCCTGAGACATAGGAACAATACAAAAATGGACGAAACAAAGAAGTCTCTAACACAGCTTGAAATTTATTGAACAACCGTTGCCTTATATACATGTCCCAGACCTCTTTCACAACTCAAACAACCTTCTCGCCGACTACAAAGTATACCCCACCTGTCAACCTCTACCGATAGCCACATGTAAACCTTAATCACAAAAACATACAAGCCCAATGCACAAAAGAACACAAACCCAAAAGGACCAAAAAAACTATTCATGCATGACCTTTCTGTTTACCCAGATCTACTCTTGCACATAGCCTTCCCAACTTCGATGGGGCTGAAAACACCACCGGGAGGTTTTGTCTCTGCGCCACTTCCTTCATTACGTCACAGTGGTGTTTTCAGCCCCATCAAATTTGGGGCTGAAAACACCCATCATCATCCTGCCCGTCACTCCCCGCACTCCAGCGCCCTTCCATGAAGAAACCAAGCTTCTAGCATATACCTCCCTCGTAAGCGTGCAGTTGGAGTACGCATCCATTGTTTGGCACCCTCATCGAATGTATTTAACCTACGATATCGAGGCACTTTGAAATAAAGCTGCCAGGTTCATTGCTAAGAATTATTCTCGTACTTCAAGCGCAACTAGCATAAAACTGTTCCTCAACCTCTCGCCCCTTTATTGTCGAAGATGCATTGCTTTCACGAGCTCTATCACAGCTCCTCTCCTTTCAGCCACTCGTACGTTCATCTACCTTATCATGTTGCATCTTGCGTCGACCATCCCTTCAAAGTATGTCCCATCCTTCCCTGCACCAACCTATTAAAAAACTTTCCACTTCTCGCCATTTCCGAATGGAACAGCCTACCCAACGATATTGTGTCGATCACCTCTGCCCAAATGTTCACCACTTAATAACTAATGTATAACAACGCATATTGTTGTGTCTTATCGTTAAATAGTTTTATGTGTGCAATTTCTTGTTTCTTTGTTTTCTTATCTGCCAACTGCATTTTGTGTTGTTACTTTCATAGATTATTATTGTGTTTATGACCCTCTTCCCCTTATTTAATTCTTGAAAGGGTCTTCGGGGTAAAAAAATAAATAAATAAAAAGCTCACGAGGAGACTGGCTGCAGCATTATGAACGTGTAGCCCGCCACAACGGATGGACGGCTGAGCAGCACCTCCGGAACTTCTACTTCTCGCTTGAAGGCACTACGAGGCACTGGTTTGAGAACCGCAAAGCCTCCTTCCCTTTGTGAGAGTCCTGCGCCGCCGAATTAAAGTGGACGTCCATCAACTATCACCGTTGGCAGCAAGCGGAGGACCTTTTTCAAGCAAGGATGCAAGGCCCCAACGAAAGTTTGACTAGTTTTGTTGAGGATGTCCTGCACCTGAGTGCCCGGGCCGATCCAGAGGCCGCCGATGAGAAAAGACTTAAAACCCTCATGCGTGGCGTGAAGAGTGAAATTTTTTTAGGCCTACTCCGCAATCCCCCGATGACCGTCGTCCCTTTTGTGAACGAAGTCACCAACATCGAGCGTGCACTGTCGGTCTGAGCAATCCTTACCACCAACTCGCCGGCGTGCCTGCTCCTCCAACCATCGCATCTTCCCGACGACCTGAGCACCACCGGTGTCGACAGCCTTCGGGAGATCGTCTGTGACATCGTCCAGGAAGAGTTTCACAAGATGTTAGCCGCTGCTGACTACCCGTTATCTCCCTCGCTCGCCGAGGTCGTTCGAGAGGTGGTTTACCAAGCCTTTCAGCCTGAGGCTCCCGTCACCGTAGCAGCACCGAAGGAGCCCGCTCTAAGCTACGTCGCGATGGTCTGACGAGCTCCATCAGCCTCACATCCGTACATGGCGCCTCCCCGACAGAAACTTCCAGCGCCGCAGTATTCCCGACGCCAGAAAGATTGGGCACTTGTCCGTCCAGAACAAGCCGCGACAAGAAAGACTGACATGTGGAGGACGGCTGACCGACGCCCGCTCTGCTACCACTGCGGGAAAGCCGACCACAGCTATCGTGGATGCCCCTACTGACGACTTGGGCTGCGTAGGTTCCACCCGAACGACTTACGCCCAAAGTATGGCGAACGTCCTCGCAACATCGAGGAGCATCTCCGACGCCTGCCATCCTCAGTGCCGTCTTCCACTGTGAACCCTGCTGACCATTGCACGACGTTCAGCGTCTCCAGCGCCATGACCTTGCTGATAGAGCCTGTCTCCCCTGCTTCGTTGGGAAAACTAAGGCAGTAACACCTGGAGGAAGCATTGCCGAAGACGACCAAAGTAAAGATCCTCCAAGAATGCCGGAACGCTCCCACTCTTTTGACGCCACGCATCACAACAATGCTCCTGCAACGCTGCCCAACAACGTAATTGTGTTGCTATCAACGGCCACGACACATCAGCACTCGTGAACATCGGAACAGACTACTTAGTCTTGAATGGGAGGCTCTCTCGCTGCCTTCAAAAAGTGAGGACACCATGGGATGGCATGCAAATACGAACCGCCGGAGGCCACCTGATAACGCCTATGGGAAGGTGCACTGCACGAGTCCACATTCATAAAGACACCTGCACCATGAAGTTCGTCGTTCTCCAAGACCGTGCAAGAGACATTATTCTCGGAATAGATTTCTCGGGCGAATTTGGCGTTATCATCGATCTGGGCGTGAACCGGTTGACATTGCGAAAACCTGTCCCGCCGCCGGAGGAACTCAACGCCACATTATCCACAGTCCAAGTCATCATTAACCACGTGAACGTGTCGCCGCAATCGATTGTGTTCTTACCCGTCGGGACTAAGGACGCTGCTCACGGCAATGTTCTGCTCGAGGGAAGTGTTCAGTTGCTTCTAGGAAGTGGAGTCGGCATCGTAAGAGATGTAATGAAGCTAAAAGACGAGTGTGTCACAGTCCTTGTTTTTAACTTCCGACAAGAGCCGCAACATTTTACAGAAGGTGCTGCCATGGGCCACATTGAGAGACTCCGAGACTCAGCCGCAATCACCGCCCTCTCGGAGGACCCGAGTTCATCGCAGCAACACAACGCCGTCCCCGGAGCATGACTGACCCAAAGCTTCCTTCTGTTCAGCGACAACAGCTGCTTGAGCTTCTCGGCGAGTTGAGCGAGTGCTTCGCCACGTCCTGAAGGATGCGACAAATGACTGTAGCAAAGCATCACATTGTTACCAATGACGATGCGCTTCCTGTCTACCAATCTCCATATCGAGTCTTTTTAAAAGAGAAAGAGCTCATTCAAGAGCAAGTTCAGGAAATGCACAAACAACAACGGCATCCAGTCTTCGAGCAGCCTTTGGGCCTCTCCAGTTGTGCTTGTCAGGAAGGTGGAACCTTAAGGTTCTGCGTGGACCATTGTCGACTGAACGCCGTCACGAAAAGAGTTGTCTATCCACTTCCCCGCATCTACGACACATTGGACCGCCTGCACCACACCCAATATTTTCGTCGATGGATTTGAAGAGTGGCTACTGGCAGATGGAAGTCTACGAATGCGCCAGTAAAGTTCTTGTTGTGATGGGGAGAGGCGTCAGCTGTCGAAAATCCTCTCCCCAATCGCAGCTGGTGACTTCGATGGCGAGGCAGTGGCAGCGACGACGATTTGTTGCTTTAACTATACATTTATTAACAAACGGCCGGCGGATGACACATGTCCGCGACCGGCTTCGGCAGCTCTCTTGCCCGAACTCTCCCGATCCCGCTCCTCCGTGGGTCCGCCTCCGTCCCCCAAGGGG